AGAATTAAGCTTATTAGATGATAATTTACATTAATCAGCCTAATTACATGGGTTATTTTTGAGCTACAGAAGATACATTCCCTGGTAAAGTGGCTTTAATACACCTGGATAAGTAGCCAATATATAGGAGTGAACTTTTAATATGAACAAACTGGTATAATATTAATGAAGTTCAGACTCTAAATTAAGTAATCAATGCATTTGATATATTACTTTTAAATTATTATTAATAAAAATAGGATGATAATATCATCCTATTATTGCCAAACTGCAGCCCGATATACCAGTTGGTGTAGCTTTATTGTAAAGAATTGGATTTTGAAGGATGTTTATATGATAATATCAGACAAATTACAATCTTACATGACAATTATAATACATTAAGCAATATTATATATTACATTTAGAAAACAAGTTTTAAATATATAGAAATACAGTAAAGTCCCAAAACACTCAACATTCCATAAAACTTGTCACATCATTCAAAGTAAAAATAATAATAATAATAATAATCTAATTTCTATCTCTATAACTTAACACTAGGATCAAATAAGTTATCCTCCTTCCATGGCAACACTTGATAATAGCATCAATTCTGTGTGTTAATAAAAAATATAATCCTTTTTTCCAAGGAGCCACCCCAAAACACAACAATGCAAGTGTCATTAAACAATTGCTGAAAGAGCATGAACACGCCGAAATGAACCTAGCTTTACATTACGGAATTATAGCAGAATGTTGTAACTAATCTCTATTGTAAAAAAAAAGCATCTATTTTCCTGTACTTGCCCGAACTTTGGCTTTATATTAGATACAGTTAGTGTTTCTATTAAGTTCATTTTGTTATCAGGGTAATGAGACAAAAAATCATCATGAAACACCAATTTATTTAAAAGTGTATGACACCTATTCCATGTGTTTTTCTATTACAACATATTAGCTGTTGAATTTCTATTTGTTTGTGAAAAAACCCAAGTATAAAATCATTTCTGCAACAACTTCAAATGATACATAACATTTCGGGTACAACTATAACTAGTGGCACGTTGAAACTGACTCGGCAAACCGATCGTTACAATTTTTAAAATTTAGGGAGTCAATCATTAAAATTCTTGCTGAGTGAATAGATGATGAAGAATAAACAGTGTTTTGCATATTAAAAGCCACGACTTCTATTTATATTTTTGAAAATAATATGGACTACTTGATTTATTAGATGAATCCACTTGGCCCTATGAAGAATTAACTTCACTGTGGATGGAAGGTGAAAGGAAGTGAGATCAATTGAATGAAGTTTCAAAATTCAAAATAAACAAATGATTTCAGAGATTTTGTAGATAACAATATACAGCAAACAATTGCATAAGTTCCTGAAACAATAGAAAAATAATTAATGTCATAGCAATTAGTAGTGCAGAAGCAAAGCTGAAAGAAGTTTTAGTTTAATTAATATAATATGTACAAAAATAAGAACTCTTGAATGTCTATATAAATTTATGACAATCAATTTTCCAAAAAAATAATTAAAAGATTGTGATACTATAACTTTTGTAAAATAGTGGCTAAATATGAACCACAGACACTAGAATATGTCTAAATTGGAAAAGACTTTTAGTGCAAGCCAAATTGCTGTTTAGAACTATAAATAATTTATTTTTATTCCTTTATTGAAGTTAGAAGTTAAAGTTGTTTCTGGAATTTAAGTAAAATTTTACTTGTACACAAAAGTATGTTAAATAAAAAATGTGCACTGAATTATTTATTATTAAAAAATGTTTTAAAAAGATTCTATAATATTTTTAACTTGTATGCATGAAAAAACAGTTTAAAAAAGGATTTCTGTAAATTCTACACTTGTGTACCCTTCTTCCTCTCTCTCACTTCACCCCTGAAGTGAGCCAGTTGTTAAAAATTTACCAAAACACCAGTAACTACAACCATAAACATCTGTAGCATTATTACTTAAATTTTCAGGCAATTTCACTAATAATGATACAAATATAACAACCATTTTATTAATTTTAAAACAATTTCTTTTTCTACATTCTATACTAAAATCTTCAGTTGCCCAGCTCATTTTCTAGAATAGAATATTGCTTCAACTACTACTATTGCTATCAAAAAATAAGATAGAACATCATTCTAAAAAATGTTCTTGGTTCATTTAAAACATATATCTTAGAAAAACTGGTAATGAATCGCAAAGAATTTTACAAAGCGAACCTTTCTCAGATTTTAATCTACCCTCAATATACATAAAATATATAATAAGACATGGTTACGAATGGCCGAACACAATTAAGATTATGCAAACGCATTTAAATATGCGCAATAACTGTGGATTGTATAGGCAAATAATACATTATAACTTGCAACAGTTCAATAACATCATCATTCTAATTACAGATAGAGATGTCATAGAAAAAATTTTGTATCAATCATTAAATTTTTCTTTTGACAGAACTGTTTAATGATAACTGCAAAATATTTCTGTCATATTTTTTTTGTAACTTAATTCTTCATTTCTTATAGCATAATGAACAATTCTTAAAGCATGTATTTTTCATAAAAACATGAAAAGCAACATTAATTATTGTTAAATCCATTTATAAATCTTACATTGTGATCGGCAAGATCTAGCATTTCATTCAACAAAATTCCAGCTACAGCAATCCCAAGTTTGATAATCTTTTTTTGAAAAAGCAGTCCTGAATTTCACATTGATTTACATTCACTGTTATTCAGAAATGAAATAATCTTAATCTTTGTCTGTATATTTTATACTTGGCCCCCCAGTCCTATCCTTTATGACTCATTTGTCCCTTTCTAAAAAAGGTTGGAGACCTCTGTGCTAGTGTGTTATGAAAAATCATCAAAGTAAATGTCAATGAATTAAATCAAACTAATCAATCAAAGTATTATATTTTTACAATTTTGATGACTCATTAATATCATTCAATGTTGTATTTGTGATGCAAGTCATTTCACATTTTAATATGTCAAATGCATTCTCCTATCTAATACAGGTCTAATTTCTCGGACACATGTGCTTCAGACCAGGACTAAACTGCATTTTTATATTCAAGAGTTTGTTGACAATGCTTCATATATCCAGATTTATGTAAAAATAATGGTTCATTTGCCTACTGTTTGTTTCTCAATTCACTTCATGATCAAGCAAATAAATGCTAGTGATGTAATCTTTATCGTCTCATCCATCTTAAAAACTTTTGTTATAAACTGAAACAACACCTTAGATTTTCAGCAAAGCAGTGATTTAATATCACACTAACATTTTCAATCAACGTCAGGTAAAATCAAATCATATACAGTATTATATTAGAACAAAATGTAGAGAGAACATTTGAGGAAGAATAAATTAGTGTTTTTTTGAATTTTTGGAATGTATGTACATAAATGTTCAATAAATAAATACAATTTTTCAAATGTTCCATCTACAATTTGTCCTAATTGGGTTGCAATTTGAAAAAACTGTAGAACTATAAATTCCCACTGTCATCATCCGTCTGTCTTTCCTTCATCTCAAGAACACAGACAGATGAAAGCCGAGACCAGATATGGAAATCTTAGGAGCAGGAGGCCCCGATTAACTATATATGAACTTCCAATATGTATCACAAGTCGTGTTATTTCAATTCAAAAATGTTCCTCTGAAAGGTGTTAGATAGATGACTGGCACGACTCTATTGTTAATGGAAAAGTATGATGTACAGGGGCAAACCACTACTAATTTGAGGTGGAGAGCATATATTTTAAATTAAATAAATAAAAATTGCTGCCCAGCATTGTGACAATGTCACATTAGATAACTGCTCGTGTAATATACAATTCAATTTCATTTAATGATGATTAGGTAATTTGATCAAAAACATCAGTGCAGTATTAAACCACTGCTTTGGTGAAAGTCTAAAGTGCTTTACTTTATCAATAATACCACAAACATTATAAATTCTCACTTATCTCTTTCTGTTTTTTTTTTTTCTTTCAGTTTTTCTTTTGCCCACCAATGATCAAGTGAATAAAACCACCAAATACCAACACTTGTTTGTGGGTTTTTTTGCTCCACAAATGGCTGGCTCTCAAGTTTTTCAGATTTTCTTCACACATCTAGCATCTAAATAGGGGCCAGTTTCCCATAGAAATTTCACCACCGCCTTGGCAAATCACCCAAGTGTTGGGTCCCTCAGCCTGTCAACCCTTTCTTCCTCTTTTACTCATAGCCAAAGCTATTTGATAGATGAAGCTGACAAATTAATATAGAAAAGACTTTCATTTCTTCTCTAAGAAAAACTATTACATTTATATTAAAATCTTCAGGACTCGGGGTCAATTTTAAAACGATAAATCAATGTAAAACATAAATCTCTTCTTCATTATAGATTTACATTCCCTGATGGTACAAATGTAGTTAGGAATGAGGCTATTGGGACCTTATCAGAGCTACCAAAAGTAAAAGGAACCGCGAAGGGTCACGTGCAGACTCCTTCCAAAGAAACCGCTAGTGTGCACGTGACCCTTCGCGACATCTGGGGGGTTGAAAACTTGGGGGATCCAAACTTCCCATTCAAAGCTGCATTTATGTCAAACTTGCACCCGAAATTATCATTATTTAAACGAGAAGAATTAAAATTCATACTTTCTCCCTCGGAGTAGGTTGAATCTTGCTTAAAGACCGTGCTAAATGTTGAACGGCATTAAAAAAGAACCCCTTCGAATCGCAAGCGGCCATTTTTCTAAATAAATGTTTCAGTCAATCCTTTTAAAATATACAAACTTCCGATGTAGCAACATCTTCTCTAGCGACATCTTGTTTACAATGACGCGAGCGCCGTCTGAAATTATATTACGATCGGAAAAATCGTTTTTTGTTCTGTTTTTTTTAAATCAAAAAAAATAATCAGAACGTTAAGAAATATTTAATTAAAAAAATACATTTTTAATATTATAAAATAATTTAAATAGTAATTTTTATTTTTATTAAAGGTTTGGATTATGTTGCTCATGAAGATATTTTACCATATACAAGTACTGAAAAACTTCCCATTCATCATGAACTCTTTGATAAATTTCTAGCTTATGATTCTGAAAAAGGTACTTCATTTTATTTTTCAATTAATATATGAAAATGTTTTTCACGTTATAATAAACATTTAAATTCAACAGATCCTCCATTTAGTGCTCGAGAAACTTTAAGAGCATGGCAGGAAAAAAATCATCCATGGTTAGAACTATCGGATGTTCATAAAGAGACCACAGAAAATATTCGGGTGACTGTGATACCATTTTATATGGGAAGAAGGGTAAATTTTTAAATAATTAAAACATCAATTTACTAAGAAAAAAATTTAAATCTGATTTCTGTTTTTAGATTGCCCAAAACACAACTGTTTATTGGGTAAGTAAAACACATAATCATAAATAAAAATTCAAGAATTTGATCTACACGTGAAATGAATTATCTTCTTTAGTGGCGTTACTGCATTAGACTGGAAAATCTTGGGGATTATGTTGTTCAGTTAAGAGAAAGACATTGGAGAATTTTTAGTCTTTCTGGTTCTTTAGAAACTGTTAGAGGTAGAGGTGTAGTTGGTCAGGTCAGTATAAACTTTATTATATATTTTTTTTTAATTAAAATGTTTTANATCAGCTTGAAATCAGTCGTGAACGTGATCCCGTTATGGCTTGTCTAATTAGGACTTTAAAAAGGAGTGAACTAAAATATTTAAATAAATTAATCTCAGAGAGGAACAGAAAGTCATATACAAGGTATATGTAATGTATTATTTGTGCATTCGGGGCCGGATTTGCACATAAGCTAAGCAAGCTCCTCGCACTGAGCCTATAGCTTAGGGCCTCAGATTTTTAAATGTATCTATTTAGTGAAAGGAAGGGCCTATTATAGCTTAGGGCCTCACATGTTTAAATGTATCTAGGTTACTTTTTACAATCCTAACACCTCCCCTATGTCACAAACCACTTCAGTCTACAAACAGGACGTAGGTAAAAAAAGAAGGTAGTGTGCATTAACAAGATTACTTTCTGTGTTTTCTCACCGAGATCATGTGTGAACTCTGAATGACAGGTTCCCACCTCCAGAATTATAGACCCCCTCTTTGTACAAGCAAAAAAGTCAAAAGGAACCATACCCATATATGCAACCTTTCATGAGATATTTGCCTTCGAAGATCAGTTTTTTTGCCATCTAACAGTATTCTGCCTATTCTTCGTGCTCTGCATCTGCAACACTCAACGTATAGTTGTGTGCTTTGGTGTGAGGGATAGCGAGCACCTTGGCATCCACATGGCAAGTCCCTGAACCTTTATAAAATTATATAACATCAAGTACTCCACGAACAATCAAGTGGGCAAAAGTGAGCATAGTTGCATAGGATAAACTTAAACTACAAATAAGTTAAAAAAAAAAAGGCTAGTTAAACTTACAATAATAATAAATGGGATGTTTCAGATCTACTTGCGGCTTCAAGGACCATTTCCTATTACACTTCTCACAAATACTACCAGTAGACCAAAGACCCATTTTCACAGTGAATTTCAGGTCCAAGGAAATCCTCTCTCCAAGCCTAATTCCTTATATTCACCATGCAACAGCGTAACAAGGTCTACATTTGTGCAAATACATCAGCAGATATTCATAATCATAATTTACTTGGAAAAGTCACAAATAGAAACTTCAATCCCGCACATACAAATGGAAATGGAAAATTAATTAAAATGCAAGCAAATTATACTTCCAAACAGGCACAGTAACCAACTCCATATAATCGAGCATATCTGTATTCAAATTTAAAACAACTCGTAACATTCACGAACAAGATCTCATACGAAGAGCAGAAGTAAGTATGACGTAGACTAGGTTTTAGGGTTGTAAAAACTAACTTGTATCTATTTAGTAAAGAAAAAGGCCTTTTATGTTATAGCTTATGACCACAACAAGTCTTCATCCAGCCCCGAGTGTACTAATTATGAATTATTTTCTTTATATTAAAGCTTGTAAATTTCTTAGATTGGCAGAAGTTGGTAAATTAGAAACTCCAAAAGTAGAAGGAAAATATGATACAGGACAAGTAAGTAATTACTAATTTGTTAAATTAAATATATGATTTAATGTTCTGCATGTATCTTTCAAAACTTGACAGCTTCTGGAATATTTTTAGTATGGTACTGGATCAAATATCCGACTAGTTTGGGATGGGAAGTGGTTCATATTTCTGAAGACAGGCTAAATATATACTTAAAATATATTTGCATTTGTAATTAATATACCATATGCCAGCAGTCATACTGAAACTGGTGTTGTGTGAGGCATACACCGGAGAAACCAAATCAAAGTGGCCACGTGGCAAGCTATAGCCAACCAAATTCTAAACTATCTGATTTTCCAATAATTCCAGATTTCTGGAAGTCAGATATTTGGTCTATTTAATAAAAAACTGTGAGGATTTCTTACTTACAATCAATATAAATTGAACAATTTTAATGGGTTTTCAAGAAGCATTGAATATAATGTCTCTCAACATAAAAACTGTTTTACATTCACTAGTTGCTCAAACTTAATGAATTTAACATTTTTAATGTTTTCTAAATGTGAGGTTCCAGACATGATTCAAACTGTCACTGAAATTCAATCCCCAAAAATAGGGAAACTGAAAAACAAACAGAAAATGGATAAAATATTTTGTTTATAATGTTTACCAATACATGTTGTGGGAACTGATGTAAACAATGTTAAATCTTAAGATCACCCATCTCCAGTTGGGATCAGAATTCTGCATCAACCTTTCATGTCACCTGAAGTGGTCTCAAATTACTTCTGAAAACAGGTAATAGACCAGCTTAGAGTGAGGATGGGGAACCAGAATCAATCAGGTTTTCTGATTAAGGGATCTTTAAAAACCCATGTGTCAAGGACATGGCTTGCTTTCAATCAGTTTCTTTCAACTATTCCCATCTAACTCATGTATTGTCAAGTTCTGATTCTGTCTGTATTGCTGTGTTACTTCTGAACTGGCTCCAGATCCAACAGACTTCATTTGTCCCATTATCTCTACAGATTGGATCTGAATATTGCTCTATCTGTCTTAGGAAACAGATCATAAGGATATCTGTGCTCTCAATCAATTAGAGCACAGATATCATCTGTTTCTTGCTTTGTGAATCCCTGATGTTCTAATGTTCCTTGACAAACATAACATTGAGGAGGTGTCTTCAACAAGATTTAGGACTTTTGTTTCAAAACTGTTTGTGAATCCGAGGAAAATCCAAGAACTTTGTAAGAACCTCTCTCTCTCAAATAAATAATTTTCTAAAGTAATTGATTCTGTCTTAGTGCCATAAACAAACTTACATACAAAACCTTGCCATAATGCAAATTCTGATCTGCCAATACTCTTCCTCTACAGCAGTGATTCCTAAATTGTTTCAAGCCACCGCTTCCTTTGTTCTTATAGCCAACATCTATTTTCCCTTGTGTGAAAAAAGCGTGGAAATATCTTTAGAAAAACTTTACCTGTTTTATCAGAGGAAAGGGAAAAGTTATTGGTGACCCCAACCCTTGCATATGGTCACCATTCAGTTGTTACCCTACCTCCGCTACCTTCTACTGCCCACTTGCTTCTATTTGCTCCCCTATATTTACTTACCACCCACTTTGGAAATCACTGCTCTAGAGGAGTTTCAGCCATTTCATGGATGGTTAATATCAGATTGTGACAACCATCGTGGGGACCTCACACTAAAGAATAATATAGTCCAAGTGGAACATGTGATAACAAATAGTCACATGACAAAATATAAATGTTTTTATAAATATAAACATTACATATGTATTTGAAACTTCATATTCTTTATGAAATATGAACTTTAAAATGATTCATTTATGAATGCAACACAAAAGAATCTTAGTAATTGTTAATGTGGCAATAGTAGTGGTCGCATGACTGTTCAGAAATCTCTAAAATTATTAATAATTCAATTAACTAAGAATTTTATGGTTTTCTGCGCATTAGCAGCCATGATGTTTAATCTCATTTGCTGAATTTGAGCATGAACTAAGTAACTGTATGATTTTAAATAAATAACACATTTGCAAATTGTCGTGTTTAAGTTAAAAATCATTAAAAATGTGCTGTAATGTGCTGATTAATTCAAATTTTAAAACATTAATTGGTTCGGATTTGAATATTGGATGGAGGTTTGGGTAGTGTACTTGGCAGTGCAGCTGCATTATAAGCAGGAGTTACAGATTCAAGTCTCACTCCAGATCAATGTTTTTTCAGAATATTCTAAATTATTTTATATCTATATCATATATTTAACGAGCCAAGTTATGGCCCAGTGAATCTTGTGTATTAATTTGAATAATTTAAAATTTTGAAATTAGTTTAGTTTACTATATAATAATTTTGTATGTTGTTGCAGCTATTTCTTCACAGAGTATTCGGATATAGAGGTGTTACCTTATTTCCATGGATAGCAAGAGTATATGATAGAGATGTTCTTAAAAAACACAATAGGTAAGATATATATTACATATGCATTTATTACTTTAAAAATTTATGAAAACTTCTTAAGTCTGGATCTTAAATGTTCTTTAATTGATTAATTAATAACTGTTCAAGTTATAAATCAATAAATTTTGTTTAGAAGTAATGAAGATACTAGTCCCGGTTTTAATCAAGTCGGAAGGGAAGTTAGAGGACATACGCATTGTTATTATCAAGTTTTAATTGATACTAGAGATTGTCCTTTTGTGGTATGATTATTTTAATATATTTTATCATGAAATAATTATATAAATTTCAAAATAAGGAGAATAAATGTTTCACTGTTTTGTTTCTCTTAATTTGAGTACATGGTCAGAATGAAAACCACCAGATTCTGTCGGTACATTGTGATGAAGGAAATCATATGCAGGAGATAAGACATTCTCATTAATAACTCTGAAACAAAGACAGACCTTTGTAAGGTGATGTAAACAGTTGTGTCATAGAAAGACCTTCTAAACTCAGAAACCAAGCATTTCCAGACCTGTGTTGATATAAACTATTCGAGGAACACATATATACTACATATGAGGAACACATTCTTGAGGTTATGCTGTGTATTTCTGAGACACTACAGTGATTTTGTAACATAACATAAAACTGTGATGTTAGCAGTGCCCTGACAATATTAAATCTTGGTTGTTGACAGTCAAAGTAAGTTTATTTAATGCATGAATGTTGATGTAATGTGATTTATCATCCCTAACATAATAATTGTCATTTTTGAAACTGTCTACTGTATTGTTCTCTCTAAGTTGGTTTTAGCTGATTGTCATTAACTGAAGTTTGTAGGGAAATTTGTAGCAATAGCTCACCAGCTAACATTGTGGATTAACCAAATGAAATTATTTGTAGGGTAAACGCTGATATTATTTAAGTTTCTCACTCAGAATCTCTGAGCTTATATGTATGAAGTGCACTGCTAATGTTCGAGAGCTACATACAACTTGTAAGCTGTGTTTTGGCACCAGTACAGGAAATTTTTAATTAACAAATTTGAGGTGGCCAATGTTTTGAGCACTTGATAAAAGGAAAATTTTATATATAGAGAACACTACATGATCAGTTGCAACTTTGCAAGTATAAAATGCATTTAGAAATAAACTCACTTAAGCATAGGCAAAACTAAAAATATATAACACTTAATTAGTTTCTTTGGTACTTTTCTATTAATGGGACACCAGCTGATATGTACAGCAATGGAAAAGATTCAAGCTCTGAATGAGGGATTTCATGCCATCCCCAGAATTGTTGACCCTTTGTGAGATAGTCATCTCCAAAAGTCAGTTTTTAACATATCAGTATATTGCCTATTCTACATGCTTCGCATGAACTTATGTGCTTCAGTGCTCGCTATTGCTACACTGAAGCACCTGAGTGAAGCAAGCCCCTAAACCCCCTAAAACTATATAACATCAAGTACTCTACGAACAGTTGCATGGGCTAAATAGTTAAATGCAATAGTCTCAATGGACAATGGTATTGCGCATAGAATTTAAGTTACAACTGGCATCCTGTTAACAGAGAAGAGCCATTTCTTTTTCAATTCCATTGTAAATCATTTATAATGGTGACACAGTTGTCACAAATTAGCTGAGACTCATGCAAATGCTTATTCAAAAAAGTTGCAAAAAAAATAACTGCTTTGTCACCAAAAATAGCTAAATCTAAAACTTCAGCTTTTAACATCAGAATTCTGTATGTAGGAGATAAACATTTGAGAATAAGTGTTTTTAATAAGCAAGACAAGTTTTGATGTTGACATAAAAATTACTGCAAATTTTCTTCAAAATTAGGCCTATTGGTCAGAAATTACAGGATCTGGAAACTTGATTTGTTTCTATTGAAGACCATCCATAATTATTAAGATAGTAATGCTCATAATTGAAGCTAGTGCCCTCAACTTTTTCTCAAACAAATATTTTTGATGTAGTCTATTGTCATATGGCCAGAATTCAAAATAAAGAGAATTTTACTACATTCTGAAATTTGTTTGTTATATAGTGTAATGAACCTTGATGTGTTTGTACTGCATTTTTTGTGGATTGTCAGATAGTAATCTATTCTACTAGATGGACAAGATGGTAAAGGCGTTAGTTTGCCACTCTGTAAACCTACATTCAAATCCAGAGTAAATTCTCAGAAATGTTCATGGATACTTGATCCAGAAATATAAGGTCTCATCCCTCATCACTTTGCTATCACATTACAAGCTTGGCCANATTGTGTAAAAGGTTGAACACAGTAGGGTTGCACTTAAAAGTAGGCTCAGGCTTGTCAGTGCTACCATGTAGAACTTCCCAGATAGAATTAAGGACATTCTGAAATTTGTTTGTTATATAGTGTAATGAACCTTGATGTGTTTGTACTGCATTTTTTGTGGATTGTCAGATAGTAATATATTCTACTAGATGGACAAGATGGTAAAGGCGTTAGTTTGCCACTCTGTAAACCTACATTCAAATCCAGAGTAAATTCTCAGAAATGTTCATGGATACTTGATCCAGAAATATAAGGTCTCATCCCTCATCACTTTGCTATCACATTACAAGCTTGGCCATATCCATAATGAGCATAACAAAAGACATACTTCATTCCTGTAGAAAAAGATAATAGGGGAAGTTGATTGATTTTTCTATTAATCCAAATGGACATTACATTAACTATGAAAAATACATCATCATCTTTCTTAATTTTTTCATCAGCCTGTGAAAGATTAGTTACCAATTTCAGAATATTTTATTTCTTTCTTTAGAGAACTCAAACGGAAGCTGTGACTTTTTTGGGTAACCAAGATAATAGCCGGTCACTATATGCCATTCCAGGTAATTTTCAAATTTATAATACAATGTCTTTCAAAATGAATGTACCTTATTAATTACTGTAATAATGTTAATTATTATTTGAGAAGTATACAACATAAACCAATCAATAGAATAACTGTCCAAGTTTCATTCCTGATCTGCATTCAAACATCTTGTTGTCTACTATCTGTAAGAAACACTGTAAACAATAATGGCAACTTTTCCATAGATAAGGTTTTTTTTGTGTTTTGCAGTTCATGAAGTTGAAATCACTCTTTATCGTGCAATAGCAGTTTTAAAGACAATTTTAAACCATATAAGATACATTCTTCAGTGATATTAACAGTTTCAGGAGAACGTAAAACTATTCTGAGTTTGAAAACTGCAGAACACAAAATACCTTCTCCTTTCAGACTCACTGTTTATGGCACTTCCTAAAAACAGTAGACATCAAGACATTTGAATGCAGATGAGAGATGAAACTCGGACAGATACTCTATTGTCGAATGATAGCATTCATTTTGGAAAACCCTGATTTAATAAATTTTAAAATACTTTTAAAATGATTATGTAACTAATTTCAAAATACATCAATTTGATTTTAAATATATAAGGAAAGAAAAAAATGAAAGTTTCCATTCTTCAGATTCAAAATAGAATCTTCTCAAGTTAGGAATGTACACGAATTAGCATAAATTGTCATTTTTGTATTCATATGTTTTTTCCACAAGGAGAAAAAAAATTATATTTAAAATTTATTGATCTCACTTTATCATTTTATTTTCATTATCCATAAAAACAAATGTTATGCAGTGGTTTAGCTTTTCTGCTGATTTTGCAACCTGCAGTTTATTATAATGTACTTCAATCAATATATCTAAACAGCTTTTTGTTTGACAAAAGTTACCACAAATGGCTTTGGAGATGTTAGTTTTACTTCATTTCTAACAACGTTTTTTATTTTATGAGTTATATACCACCTACAGATTAACCACACAAAAATTCAGTAGTCTAAACTTTAAAATTATAAAATAATTTAAATAGTAATTTTTATTTTTATTAAAGGTTTGGATTATGTTGCTCATGAAGATATTTTACCATATACAAGTACTGAAAAACTTCCCATTCATCATGAACTCTTTGATAAATTTCTAGCTTATGATTCTGAAAAAGGTACTTCATTTTATTTTTCAATTAATATATGAAAATGTTTTTCACGTTATAATAAACATTTAAATTCAACAGATCCTCCATTTAGTGCTCGAGAAACTTTAAGAGCATGGCAGGAAAAAAATCATCCATGGTTAGAACTATCGGATGTTCATAAAGAGACCACAGAAAATATTCGGGTGACTGTGATACCATTTTATATGGGAAGAAGGGTAAATTTTTAAATAATTAAAACATCAATTTACTAAGAAAAAAATTTAAATCTGATTTCTGTTTTTAGATTGCCCAAAACACAACTGTTTATTGGGTAAGTAAAACACATAATCATAAATAAAAATTCAAGAATTTGATCTACACGTGAAATGAATTATCTTCTTTAGTGGCGTTACTGCATTAGACTGGAAAATCTTGGGGATTATGTTGTTCAGTTAAGAGAAAGACATTGGAGAATTTTTAGTCTTTCTGGTTCTTTAGAAACTGTTAGAGGTAGAGGTGTAGTTGGTCAGGTCAGTATAAACTTTATTATATATTTTTTTTTAATTAAAATGTTTTATTTAAAATAGTTTTATTTGTAGGAACCTATTTTATCTAAAGTACAACCAGCATTCCAGTATAGTAGTCATGTGAGTTTGCAGTCACAATGTGGTCATATGTGGTAAGTATAGTAGAATTTTTTTTTAATTTTAGGTTCATTAGTAAACATTGATAATGCAATGTTGCATTGCATAAACCTTTATTCGTAGCATATATATGCTTCTTAATGCTCCTCCATGTGGAACCTACTATCGGGAAGGTTCCTTGTGGTAACACTGATTTATGTCATTTCTCTGCTGAATCATTAATCCTGTATGAATATAGAATAAACCCCAAAAGAATCTTGCATTACTTTGTCATTGTGTAAAAGGTTGAACACAGTAGGGTTGCACTTAAAAGTAGGCTCAGGCTTGTCAGTGCTACCATGTAGAACCTCCCAGATAGAATTAAGGAGCATAAACATGCAGTGAATGAAGACCTAAGTAACACTACATTATTGGTGTTCACTAAGAATCCTAATGTTGAAGTCACTTGGGATGATAGAATTACTAGAATTTATTTTACAGTGACTTATTAATTGTTTTCAATTTGCCCAATAAATTTTTAAATATTTACTCTATCCAAAATATATTTAAAAAATTTACAAAAATCACATAAGTAAACTAAATTTTTAATATGAACTAAGTTAATTATTTTTTTATATCAACAATTATCTAGCTGTGTAACTGTTCATTTAATATATTAATACTTCTGGATATATATATATTATTCCTACCCTGTGGGCATTTTTTTCTATACAGAATTCACAATGAGGGCAGCTAAGCGGTGAGGGATTAAGCTCAACTTGACTGGGACTGATCATCTGTGAAAAATTCCTTGGCAAATTGCTCACTTGGATTTAATTGTGGGTTTCCAGATCAATAGGCTAACACCTTAACTGCCTCAGCCATTGTTCTGAAATACAAATTCTCTAATTATCAAACCTGAATTTTGAATAGCTATCAATTATTCATATTTTTTTAAAAATAATTTTTATAAATTATTAAACTTCCATAAATAGTGCAAAAAGATTTAACTGAATTGAATGAAAATTTTATGTAATAGATTATTTGGAACTAATAGGAATTACAATCAAAAAACACCATGAAAAACAGTAAAGTAGCATATCACTCGATTCAGAAATTCTGATTTTTAATGGTTTAACATTCAAATTGGAACAACTTGTATTTCTTGCATATACAAATATCAAAGGCTGCATGATTTTGAAATTCAAATACAGTGGAACCTCGTTTAATGAGCACCTCGCATAATGAGCAAAACAAATCGTAAAAAAATGACTCACTTAATGGGACGAGAAGAGGGGAAGTTCCGGATTGTGCGCATGCTACATCAGTCTGTGTTTAGCACTTGTTTGGCTAGCATCTTAGTGTTGCTTGTGATCATACATTTTTCCAAACTTGTGTTCAGACATATTACATGTAAACATCAACAACCATAGTCCATTATATAATAAACATTCCAAATGATATGCCAAATTCTTGAGCTATGTAAAGGCTATAATTAAATAGTAGAAATTAAATAATTCGACTCGAGGTAGGTAGTTATGCTGCCATCTCATATTAAATTTAAATTTTTTTTTTTTTTTTTTTTTGGTTTCTGCAAATTGAATTCACATTCCAGGTTGGTTTATTCCACGCTAGAAGAAAAGAAGAAGATGATTAACGCTCCTTAACAATGTATATTGTTTAATTTTTTTTAATAAACATTACACGTAAAATATTTTTGTATTTTTTTGGCATGGAATGCATTATTGTGTTTTACATTGATTTATATGGGAAAAATTGTTTCTCTTAACGAGAGTTTTGCATTATGAGTAAGATTCTGGAACAAATTATGCTCGTTAAGTGATGTTCCACTGTACAAAATTTGAACTAAAAAGTTTTTACAGAGAATAATTTAAAATTAAAGTTGACAAATAAAAACTGACAAGAATGTAAAATAAAAAATAGTAATCTAATCTTAGATTATTTAAGATATTCTCATAATAATCCTTGATGGAATAGTCTTTACCTTTTAGTAATGTTATATTAAATCCTTAATTTAACAAACTAATTGGGGGAAAAGTGGTGTCCACTAATGCCAAAAGTCCATTAAATCAAATATTATTAAAAAATTATATTAATAGTGAACTTAAAACATGAAAGATGTGTTAAAATGTTATAATGTGTAAGTAAAATAAGCTAATAATATATTTTTATTGAGTAATTTATACTCATCGATCTTTAACCCAAACTTTTAACATGCTCTAAATAAAAAGGTTTTAAATTTTTCTTATTGAACAGAATTCTTTGTCTGTTAAATCAAAATTAGACTTCTTACAAATAAGAAATATCAGAACAGAATAAAAAAAAATATTGTTTTACAGGTATAATAATAATATATTTACACTTTACTAATAACAATATGATAATGGTCAAGTGGTTAAGATGGCAGTCTACAACTTCAGGGGATCCTGGATCAAATCCGGATCATTCAAAAAACCTCAGTAATAGTTCTGAATATGCCAGACCCTGCCCCTCATTACTCGGCCTCCCATTTCAGGCGTGGCCAAACGCATAATGGGTTCAGTAAAAAAAGAAGGTCCTCTTAATCCCCACAGGGCAGAAAGAGTTTAAGAAACAAAAGTAGTAATGTGTTTATACATATAAAACATTATCTTTACTAGAAATTTGTTACAAAATGTATTTGATAACTGTAACCGATACAAATTGTATATGTATTTTATAGGGGAACTTTCCGCATGGAGAGAGAAGACGGACACACTTTTGACTGTAGAATTCCTCCATTTTCTTTGGAAAGTAAACACGAACCAAATCCCACAGACAACACCACTTGAAAGTCTAAATTAAACATCTTAGAAAAACTTTTACATTATGGATTGTTCTTGAGCCTATGCCAAATACAATATGCCATTCTTTGTAAATCTACTGAAATCAGATAGTTTGAAAATTGCAGTATTTTTACTCCAGAAATATAAAGCAGAAAATATTTTCTAAATAACGCAATAGTCATTCGTCTAAAATAAAAGTATTTTTCTTTAAAATAGAATTATTTACTCTTCCATTAAAAAATTATTTTGTTTTTCACTTTAAAAAGTATATCTGTAACTATTTCATTGATAAAATAAAATACTTTCCATTCTTTATAAATAAAGGAATTTTTTGTTTTTGATAGTAAATTTAATTTGTTATTCATTATTTGTTTTGGTTTAGATTTGAAAAATATATTTAGTGAAGTATTATATTTAAAATATTAAATAATATAATGTAAATAATACATTAAAAATATATATTGTGTAATATTTTGCATCTATAAGGCAGCACTACATGTGCGATGTTTTCCAAATCCAAGTGACAAACGTTTGTCATTTGACGAATACAGAGTAGTGAGGACAAGTAGTTTATGGTAGACATTTGGGATTTCAAATGTACCAGAACATTTGCCACTTCCCATCCGCGAGTCTCTCTGTTCACCCATATCAAAGTACAGTAGAACCCCTCTAATCCGTCACCTTTGGGACTGGAGGTATGGTCGGAATGCAAAAAAGGTCAGATTATCAGAAAAAAGTAAAATAAACAATCTTCCCCTTTGTCTAGTCTTTGTAGCACTACTAATTTTTCATTTAATGAAAGAGTAACGTGTTTACGTTTCACTCCTGACATGTTGAAAGCACACACAAAACTGTACATGTACACACAATGTAAAACATATACTGTAATGAACACAGAAAAACACCACAGACGGTGAGTCACCGACGAGTCGGGACAAGTTTCTCGACTCCGACCACAGTCGGATTAACCGGAGTGACTGACTAGCCGAGGGCGGACTAGAGGAGTTCTACTGTAGATAAACATTCATCCAGACCTTCAAAATACATTATTCACAAACATTTGAGTCTCAGAAAATAGGTGCACCCATGTATATGTGAGCTCAGGTCACGTCTACAGGCCACTTGACAAATAATGTATATGTAGTGCCATCTTTATTAATTCTGTTCACCAAAGTTTGACAAGAATGAAACTATTATTGATGATAAAATTCTTGGGATTCTTATTGCAGTCATTTATCAATAATGAAGAATGTATGAGAAGTTTGTTTATTACTGATCCAAATAACAATGACATCATTCAGATAACAATATCACTCAAATCAGTAATAAATGTTTAGATCGGTTGATAAAATAATAATTTTCTTATTATTTCTCAATGATCATGATATCTAATTACAAAATCAGATGTTTACATGCAAACATCTGCAAATTTATGTAATACATACACTTTAAGTGAATTCTATGGAAATATTTGAATAGTGCATTTTATATCTTACACTCTTCTTTACCTTTGATCCATGATATTTCAACATTGGAAAGATTCCCTGATTAAATAATTATAAACTAGTATCCCACATGTCGTGCACCTAATAAGCAAAATAGTTGTTCAGATGATATGACCTAGGTGATTGCCATCCTGTTTTGAGCGCGCACATGGGTGATCCAAATGCTGTTTTTGGCTAAACTTGGCCACAGATCTGGTCCTCTTGCACTTTGCAACTGACAGCCGGTCAAGAAGGTTCAGGAGTTGGCGCACTGCTCTGGGATCCAGGGATCAAACCTGGATGGTCAAAAAATCCCAGTAATTTTTCAGAGGATCTGTCCCTCACCACCTGGTTGCAAGTATTGTGGACCTGGCCAAACTCATGATGGATATGATTTAAAAGTCCTCTTAGTGCCCATGGATGTGGAAACAGAAAAATAGATAAAAACACAGAAACAGTGATATGTGAAATTGGTTGCATTTGAACTCTGCAACCTTCTGGCTGACCATTCAGATGATCTTGATGCACTTGTGTGCATCAACATTATCCTGAAATGGAAAAAAACCCATTATATCGCCTATTTGTCAGCAAATCATGCACACTTTGCCTATTGTGTCTTTTGCAACATCCTGTACAGTACTACAAAGCCATTGCTTGTAATATAATGAATAATACTGTATAAAGATTGTAAACTATCAAAACATATTAAATGTGAGTGTAGAGGACCATAGCATAACATTATTTGTTGGTACACACTACATTGTGGATACTAAGAGGGTCATTGTAGTTTTGGCCAAGAACTGAAAATATACCAGAAAAATCCTAAATCCAAATTTTTTACTTCATAACAGCGGTTGCCCATTAAAACGAATTTTTTAAAACACTTCCCGCCCTGTGGGAAGTGTTTTAAAAATGGACTTGCTAGAGTCCATTATGCACTCTAGCAAGTCCATAATGGGATGCCTAAGTAGAGAGGAATGAAGCTCTACATATCTGGATGGATCAACCCCCGAAGAATTTTTGGGATTTTTCGATCTCGGATCCTCCAGAGTGATTGGCTGCCAATCTTAATCGATTAAGATGGCAGCCAATGCTGCTGTTATTTACAAATAACTACTTTGCCCTATCAATAAAGCCAATCATAAAGCGCCTCGACTTACACAAGTGACGCAACAATCCCATTTCGAGTTGAGTTACGTCACAGAATGTCATGTGATAGATTAAAAGAAAAATGTATACTGTACTTTTGAAATAAAACAACAAGTCCATTTTAAAATTTTTTATTACGAGAAATGTAAATAAATAGGAAATATTTTGAATAATATGGTTATAAATTTTTCAGTTTACAATATTTGAAACAAAACATTCGAAAACTTGCGGCGTCTTCGGTTCAGATTCTTATTAGAGGGTTTCAACTGAAAAAGTTATAATAAAAATAACTTAAAAGGTACTTGAAATTATTTTATATTACAATTTGTTATATACATTTTATTTGAAGATGATAAATTTATAAAATCAAAGGAACTACTATTGAACCGATTTTCTTCAAAGAGCTCTGTAACCTGTAATCTGTACTATATTTAATTACTTGGAGTGAACTCTTTTTTGTAAAATTTCTGGCATGCACCACGTAGATGAACTTATAATACATAATTTTATGCCCTGACTTCGCCAATAGAAAACGTTCGATGGACGGATGGCCGAGCGATTAAGATGGCAGTCTGCCGCTATGAGGAATCTTAGATCGAAACCCGTCCGGTTACGATCTCGGATCCGTCATAGCAATCTCGGACCCTCAGGAATTTTTCGGGATTGGTTCGGCATGATATGTCGGGCCGAGGAATCCCCAGGAATTTTTCGGGGTTGGTCCGTTCGGATATGTCGAGCCCCGTCCCTCACCACCCGGTCGCCCCATTGTGGGCCTGGCCGAACCCACAATGGGCCTGCTATAAAAAGCCCTCCTAGTGCCCGCAGGGTGGAAAGAGTAAAAGAAGTACAGAAAGAGTCATAAATATTTAAAAAACTAGCCGTTACTCGCGAGTTCGTCCGCGGAGGTTTTGCAAGCAAACCCCATTTACATTCAATATTTCAATAACCATAGTAATTGTTATATAATACCTACCGCTGAAGAGAATTGCCGAGAATCAAACGAACTATTTTCAATTTCATCAATTTTCTGGAACGTTTACAATCGTTCTATAATCGAACCAATATGCAATAACAAATTCGAATTTAAAACGGTTTGAACATTTTTAAAATCGAAATAGATAAAAATATTTATAACAATGTCTGAAATGTTATCAATTTAATACACCTAAGTACTCAATGAAGACTAAACGCAGTTGAAAACAAAAAATCGCATCTAAAATAGTACAGTAGAAGCCGTTTTTCGGTTAACCCTTAATGCTCTCCCTCTCCCCCCTACTTGGGAATTTTGAAAAATCCCTTTTTAGTGTGCGTTTTCATGACGTACCCTAACTGTGTACCAAATTTCACTTCTCTAGGTCCAGCGGTTTGCTCTGGGCGATGATGAATCAGTGAGTCATTCAGTCAGTCAGTCAGTCAGTCAGGACAAGCAATTTTATATAAATAGATAAAATTATATATGTAAAAATTAAACTAAAGGCAGTTTTTAACTCCAACGACAGCTTGCCTAAAAGGGAAAGGATTTGGACACTGCTATAGATATAATAAAATATGCATTTTATATTAGGAGGCTAAAAAATCTACTTGGCTTAATTTTCAGTGGCGCACATGTCTGTTCACCGGTCAGCCCATAATGGCAAGGTCATACCGCTGCATCAAGGAGATATTTATTGATTTTGGTCGTTTATTAGATATACACATAAAAATTTATTTGGTCGTTTATTAGATATACACACATAAAAATTTCAAATATAATTAAGAAAACATTTTAAATTCTGATAAATGATAATTTTACTACTAAATTTCTTGGAATTATGTTATCCGATTGCTTTAAAATTATAATACTGTATATATTATATTCGGAGGAAGGCATGAATGTTTGCTTGCTAGTCTCATCCTCATGTTCATTCGTAGATTTTTTTTTGTTATGTTTACTAAAGTGGTCTTTTTATAAAGGCCATCTTGGATATGGTCAGACCCGTGCTGGCCGTATCCAAGATAGGATGACCCAGCGGTGAGGAACGGGGCCCAACGTATTCGGGATGTACAGTACCACCCCAAAAAATTTCTGGGATTCGAAAAATTAATCTGTAGTAACTGGGCTGCAATTTGAACAATTTGTAGTCCTATAAATTCCCAGTTGTCTATCTGTCTTCCCTTAATCTCGAGAACGGAATTAGCTAGATGAAATCCAAAACCAGATATGGAAACCTTGGGGGCAGGAGGCGCCGATGACCTATATAAGAACTTCCGATTTAAATCGAAAGTCATGTTATTTCAATTCAAAACTTCCCCCGAAAGGTGTTCGACGATAGACACGACTCTATTGTTAAAAGAAACTATAATGTACAGAAGCAAGTCACCATTAATTTGAGGTGGAGAACATAGATTTTAAATTAAATAAATTAAAAATACGGTTAAAAATTGCAAACCCGGCATTGTGACCGTACTACAAAGCCATTGCTTGTAATATAATGAATAATACTGTATAAAGATTGTAAACTATCAAAACATATTAAATGTGAGTGTAGAGGACCATAGCATAACATTATTTGTTGGTACACACTACATTGTGGATACTAAGAGGGTCATTGTAGTTTTGGCCAAGAACTGAAAATATACCAGAAAAATCCTAAATCCAAATTTTTTACTTCATAACAGCGGTTGCCCATTAAAACGAATTTTTTAANTTTTTTCTTTTTTACTTTCGTAGCGCCCTCTGAATCACAAAAAAGTTACGATCGTTCGCTGAGGATTGTGGGATTTAGCATCTCCTTTTTTTCTTTTGAGTTGTATGAAACGGTTTTCCAAATGTAACCCAAAATTATCCTTTTTTTTACGATCATAATTCTTCATAATATAAATAGTATAAGTCCCAAAGGTTTCAGCGAGCGTTCTGTTATGGCAGGTGAGATAATTTCCTTCTCTTGCAATACAAGTAACATATTTAATGCATTTTAAATTTGAACTAACTTCAAACTCCAATAGGAAACGGAGATGTTCAATGGAGTTTTTCTCAAGTGAAAGGGACCTTAGATGATGATGTGACCGAAGGTAAATAACACTTTTCCCTTCCTTTATCTTTCAAAATATAAATGATCATTAATACTTAATAAATTGTATATTAATTTTCATTAATATCTGCATTAAATTCAGATAAGCAGAAGTTACCGGTTCGGTGGATCCCGCATTGACTTTGCATTGAAACGCATAGTGCCACACGGTTTACGCGATGTAGTTGGAGCAGCAAGAGTGCCATACGCGGCGTAGAGGAAACGGCGATCGGACGCCTGTGACCGAAAAGTTGTAACCCCATCTGGATTTCCCTTTGGAGATAGTCGAGTAGTACATATATGATGGACGTTGCCAGACATAATTAACTGTCTTCGGCCAGTTGGAAACCCAGAAGGGTTGTCCGACGTGAAAAGCCTCGTGTAAATGTTCCCTGCATTGCGTTAGTTGGGGTCGCGGAAATGTGGCTTGGCATCGATGAGGCCACTTCGCTATTTTTGGCTCCGTTGTCAGCTGTGTTCTCGTTACGTAGCTTGGGCAATGTCAAAAGGCACCGGGCAAAGTGAATGTGGGATCCGCCAACCCATCTAGCTTATAAGTTACTTTTACGTGCTTAGCTCTTATGTACTGTACGGTGCATATATTAATATATGATCTAAAGGTAACGTCCGCCTCTATCCTTTGACACTTTAATTCGAAACAAGAGAAAGTTTGTAGTGTGCTGAAAAAGTGATCCTTATAATGATGATGATGCAGTTATTTCGTGTTTAAAATAAGCAAACAAGTATTGTAAAATTGATCTATTAAAATAACTAGTTAGATCATCCTTTGTTATTAAGAATAATTGACTTATTTTGATCTAAATGATGATGTGTTATAAATTTTGATACATTTCTTACTACAACCTTGTTGATGTGTGATTACTAAATATTAATACAATTTATTAGTATTATGATATATGTTTTGTAAGGTACGATCGTTCATTGTATGATAATATTGAAATAATAATATTTTAAGTGAATGATGTAAGTTATTATTTTAAAAAAATACTTTAAAATATAATAGAGTGTTAATTACCGATTGATCATTCTTTATTATATTATTATCAATTCTTCATTGTAAATGAAGAATTAATGACAAAGTAAAGTATTATGAAGTTTAAGAATGTCAACAACATAACTAGAAATAGAAAAATTGTTGAGGTTTCTAGTGTTATAAAGTAAAATATTTTACATTTTGTACAACTAAATTTGACAGGTATTTCTTTCTATGGAAAATATACAGTGAAATATAATACTTGTAAAAACTATGCTTCCAAGTTTTTGCTACTATACTTTATATTACAGCATGTTCAGTTTTTGATATTTGACATACAGTTGACACCATCTACAGTCTGTCTATGGAAAGAATCAGACTGATAACAATGTCACGCATGATGTCACTTCGGTTAAACCAATCAGCACATTCCCTAATAATGTCAACAGTTTTCACTTAATATGTCAAATGATATGTGTATTTTATGTTCTCTCAATAGATGACAGAACAACTTTTCTGTTAATTTTTTAGCATGTATTTAACTACTTTTAACATGCATTTTATTACATTTAGCATGCATTTTACTACAGGAAACTTCCTCGTATTCCAATATCATAACGTGAAGCTTCTATAACACTGTTTATAATGGTGGTGACATGTTTAACAAATGAGGACAAAATCAAAGTAACTTGTCACAACTAATCAATTAATGGCTGATGCTCATTGGTTAATACCCAAGTTGACTATTTCCATAAATAGACTATATATAAGTTGAATTGTAGTTTAATCTTATCACTGTGAAAACACATTTGACTTTAATGAAATGTTTAGCAATAAATAGTTTTCTGACAGACAACTCCCTTTGATATATCTAATAGAGAATCAATTATTTAGCTCTATTATAAAAAATATGTAAAAAAGCAAGGTAAACTACAACACGGTTTCATCAGAATCAAAAGCTCTATTATATTTTAAAATTGGGGATGCAGAGGGTTTACTGTAATTGGAATATTTATACTAAAGATAACAATTTAACAATGCAGAAAAGTTAATGAAATGAAAAATATAAATTTAAGTTACTTCAATGAAAACACTGTGCCATTTGCATAAGTAGGAATTGAAATGAAAAGTTTAAATATTGAATATTGATACTAAATAAAAACATATTGAATATTGAGACTAATGATAATTCTTTTTCTGCTTTTACTTAAATTTAGTATATTTTATACCACATTACTTAAAATATATGTATCAATATCTATGGGTGCATCTATCAATACATCAGAGATTCTAGGAAAATAACTTACCTATCGGCAGTGGCATGTCGTCATTGGAAGCAGTGGATGCGTCGCTTCCCTTGTACTTTCTAAAAAATAAATACATATTAATTTTAATTATATGAAAATAATCGTGCAATATTTTATTATAACCGCATTATGTATCTTATTACAAATTTCTATACTACACGTGAAAAAAAAAGATAAAATTGCTATTGTGTCCACCACTAATATCCAAATATTAGTGGCGGAGTAGAAGCGCTGTATCGTCAGCATCCAAAAAGCCAGATTCATGCATGTGCTTTACAGAGCACCAACCTCACCCAGTTTAGCTGGTGAAAGCCTAGGACCTTGGGTGGATGCTACACATATACCACATCCAATTCTATCCAGGACCGGTTCTGGGCTGTTAGCCGCTTGCCTGCTAGATATTTGGCCACCCTCGCCCGATTACGTGAATCATGAGTAGATTTATAACTTAACCCAACCGATAAGAATTTACTGGTATGTTTTTACAATAGTTCTGTATAGTTGACAGAAGTTCAAAAAATTCATTAAAATATTTGATATATTTATTCTGCTTTTATTCCGCTCTCCCATCTTATATTACTTACGCATTTCAATGTTAAACCAGTGGTATTACGATTTCATACGTCCCATCTTTAAGGGGATGTAGAAAAAAACGTGTACAATTCTTGTACAATGTTAAAAAATTAACTGTCACTTTGGTAGCATCATTTACAACTAAATTTAATGAATGAGAGAGATGCACGAGGTACAGAAAAAGCTCTAGAATTTATTTTCCTTAAATTTACGATTTATGTATCCGTTTGTCATAAAAATTTGTCTTTCCACTTTTTTCCCGAGACTACAAATATTCGAGTACAAAGTAACCGGTTTCGACTTATTTCTACTTAAGAAGTAGTTAAATAATTAAGCGATTAGGGAATTGGGGACATAAACAAAACCCTGATGAAAGAGCCGAAATTTTACTTAAACAAAAGCTTAACCGAACCATCTCTAGCCGAGTACAGTGGAGACTGATTTCTTCGTATTATTAATGTAATAAAGACGGAAATTTTTCCAGTTCAACGAGAGTGACCGAAAAGTTGTAAATTTTGGAAATTTCTGAGGACACTTGGTCCTAAAACGAATTAGTTAGAAAACAAATGACTATTAAGTTTAACATATTTATGTTAGACTATTTACATTAGCTATGGTGAGAAATGTTTAAAAAAAGAACAGCCCTGTCACGTCCTTTGAGATATACTAGTGATGCGACAAAAGAGGTATTTGACATTGACCGGTATCGGCACTCTGGGGATTTGGCAGTCCGCATGTATGCACGCTCTGCAACCGTCTTCGATTCCATCCATTAGTCACTTGCAGGGAGCTATTTGACTAACTGGATTGTTTTAAGAGTTAAAAAGTAAAGAATATTTTATATTTTTATGTACGTTTCTTTACAAAGCTATATTTAATAATAATTTTCTTTAAAGTATATTCANCAAATATTTAGTATTTAAGAAAATTTTTATACAGTGTAGATAAAAAGTCCCTTGCCAAATAGGGAAGGAGATTGCAAATTACAGTTGGAAGACACTAAGTGACTTTAATGACATTTAAAGCAGTCTGTATGACAATCAGGTTGAGACTAGTGTGAGTATGGAGTGTTGTACACCACAATACTCATTAACACTGATGTTCAAACATTGTTCAAGTACTCAAATACAGTGTTATACATGATCACTTGTCATCACTGCATGGGTTTGCATATGAAATGTTATAAAGAATGTACAGAGCAGTGGCGTGCCGTGACATTTGATGATAGGGAAGCTGTGTTTCTGTAAGAAACCAACTTCCAGGGGCAATCAGTTAATTGTGCATGATGGTCTAGGGTCTATTCATATTCATTTGTTTGATAAGCCAGTAAAAACCATAGACTTCTAAATGTATTATATCACTGTTACATTCTGAATTGCTAGGATTCAGAATGTAATTGTGATAATAAAAATACATTTAGAAAAGTTTACGGTTTTTACTGGCTTATCGAATAAACGATATGAATGGATCCTAGACCATCAGTGAATTGCAATTGACTGATTGCCCCTGGATGTCGGCTTCTTACAGAAATACGGCTTTCCTATCATCAAATGTCACGGCACGCCACTGCCTATTGGCATTAAGATAAACTGGAATGAAAAAATGCTAAGTATGCAAGCCTGTGACGTATTCTGTTTCATATAAAGCAAGCCAGATTATTGGTTTGGTTACTAAGCTGCTATTTTGATATATTCTACATATAAATAACTCAGATTTATAGAAATCTGAGAACTTTTCATCGGTTCACTTATAAGAGATATACTATCTTGTATGTCCTTTTATTTGTGTTGTTGATTCATACTTTAAATTGGAAATTATTTTTGAGTTAAAGTAATTAATTGATGAAAGTAAATTAATTATATGTAAAAATGGCAAAATTGTTCTTTTGTTTGATAAAAGTTACAATAACATACATAATATCTACTTTAATGATAAATAAATACATCACACGTATATAGTGAATTATATATGTAGTAAAGTTTAATTTTTTTTAATGATTTTTTTTAAATAAAATGAAATATAAATATTTATTCATATTCAAATGGTATTCAGATAGTTGAGAGTCAGAATTAGAAGTTAATCAATAAGCATTCTTATATTTAAACTTGTAAATGAACACGATTAAGA